CATAAAAATAACTATTCATGGAAATTGGACTTACTTGCACTGACCGTGATCGTCAAAGGTGTATGTTGCGAAAAACATATGCGAGACTATAGCAAAACAATGCAAAATATGGGCAAACCATAGGCAAATCATAAGAAAATCTCAATCAGGACGAGTTCCCAGATCATATAAAACCGTATCGCAATCATAAAAATAACTATTCATAAAAATCAAGCTTGCTTGCACTACAGCGAAACCCACGGCCCGTTTTTTTGCTGCCCAGGAAGACCGTGCTCCGCTGTGCTCCGCTGCGTCATGTGAACCTGAGTTAGGGGTCAGTGCACTGCCGTTAACATGTTTCTTGTCGCGACATTTAGGGCTCTGGCCGACGCAGAGCTGGCTTCCGCATCCGCTCCCCCAAGAACGCCACGCAACCAAGCTTGGACAGCTGGTGCCTGATTCGACACCAGGCATAATGTTCGAAGACTCGTGCAGTAAGGCTCTTGCGGGTCGATCTCGAGGTCGGCTGCCATCCACTGCATCTGCCTGTCAATGCGATTAATTGCTTTAGAAGAAACAGGCGGCGTGCGGCCTCACGCGATACTCCATCAGGAGTTCCATCGCATCTCCGAAGGCGTCGCTGCTCGTAGTAGGCCAACCCTGAAGCGAGCAAGGCTCATCGAGCAAAGTCGCTTGCTGCCCACCTTCAGGTAAACCGCGTAAACTCGGTCTCCTGTCATGGTAATTTTGGTCGACCAAAACGCACGTCGAAGGAGCCGGCCTGGCTGCAGCGTTTTTAGCAGCTTGGCCTCTCGGAGCTGTACCTGTCGGCCGAAGCATGCGCAAGTTGTGATGGTCGCTCCCCTGCCTCGTTCGTGTCCTCGATGCGCCACCAGTCGGGGTACCTGGCGAGATAAGCACACGTCACGACAACAAGACCCTCGCCCTGCAGTTCGAGATGAGGACTCGAAGAGTATGTTTCAAAATATTTTCTCTGCATGACTTTTCTAAGATATAGGGTTTAGGCGGCTTAGGGTTGAGGGTCAAGGAGCCCTAAAAAGGTGGGTAATTATTTATTAGTGGTATAAGACAGGCCTGAAATGTTAAGTTATTGCTTCGTTTTGGCTCCTTATATCTCTCATTACAGTATATCATCCCCCCCCCCAAAAAAAAAACGCCCCAAGTCATATTCAGCCAAGTCAAGGATCTGCTTCATGGTCATTCGTGAGCAAGGTCCTCACCAGCGTGGAAATTGAACTCACGGATTTTTTGTTGTGTAGGGCTTCTGTCTTGTATAAGGGTCGTGGTTCTATACCAGCTCCAGAATAGGGTTGTCGAGGTTTTAGGGCTTTCGGGGTTGTAGGGCTTTGGCTCTACGGGGATTTAAGGGCTTCATGGCTTCAGCTTGCGGCGCTTTGGGGCCTTGGCGCTGATTCTTTCGAAGGTCTGGATGAAGAGTAACTACTTGGAGCATCATGGGACTTAGTAAGTAAGGTTATAAGTCCCCCAATTGGGGTTATAAGTATAGTTACCCTAATTATAACCCTACTTACTAAATCCCAGGATCCTTTAAGTAGGTTGGCCGTTTTAGAGCCCCTGAAAACTCGTCGTCGATCGGATCTTCGGAGGCCCAGTAATAAGGGAAACTGTAAAAATATGTATTAGGAGTTAGGATTAGGGGCCCGTTTGGGGATATAGACCCTCTCAATAAGGTCCCTTTTCAGAGAGCCATAACTAGGGTTCAGAAGGGTCCCCTTCAAGGGCCTCGGAATTACACGGTTAATGCGGCTTACAGTTGTTTCAAGGCTTCCAGTATGTAGACTTGGATCCTCAGGCCTGTACTGCAGACAACCCTAAACCCTAAACTGGCCCTAAACCTTAAGAACCCCAAACCCAGTTTTTTGTAGGCTCTTATTATAAACCCTAATATGGGATTTATAGGGACCCTACAAAAAAGTAGGTTTTGGGTTCTGAAGGTAGACTCTACTAAAACATAGAACCATGTCGCGTAAGCAACTCAAGGGTGCTGCAAGAGTTGGAGTGTACTTGGGTCGACGAGTAGCCACCCCATCCAACACGCTCACGGCCCCAAGTACTAGACACTGCAATCTGTGCAGAAGGAGTTCCTGTTCATTCGAGTCTAGACTCAATGCACATCATGCACATCTCAACCTAAACACAAAAAACTCAATCCGAACTCAATACAGGAGCTTCACTGATCAGAAGAGGGCTCTTCGGGTGCTTAAAAAAATGACTATGCCCGCAACCTGCTCTTATTATTCAGGACCTTATGTGACCAGGCAAAACTCAAAACAAAGCCCTAAACCCTGAACCCTAAACCGCAAAACCTAAACCCCAACCCTAACTCCGTAAACCCTAAACCCAAACCCTAAATCCGCAAACCCGAAACCCTGACCGAGCCGCAAGAAATATGGAGCGCGGTAGGACCACGATAAACGGAGATCCACCCCTGACTCAAGCCGCCATGCTGTGAAGATCCCCAGAATTTAGGCTATTGGGTTTAAGGGTTGAGGGTTGAGGGTTTAAGGTTTAGGATTAACCCTAAACCCTAAACCCTAAACCCTAAACCCTAAACCAGTTTAGGATTTAGGTTTTTGGGTTGAAGGATGAGGGCTTTGAGTTTAGGCGTTAAGGTTTAAGGGATGAAGGTTTAGGCTTTTGGGTTTAGGCTTCTGGGTTTAGGGTTGAGGGTTTAGGAGTTAGGTTTCAAGGGGGTGGGGTTCATGGTTTAGGCTTTTGGCTTTAGGGTTTAGGCTTCAGGGGTTAGGGTTTAAGGGTTTAGGGTTTAGGCTTCAAGCTTTTGGGTTTAAGGGGGGGAGGGGGTAGTTCTCGAGATTAGGGTCCCTTTATAGGGCTCCTGAAAGTGATCTAGAAGGGTTTCTAAAGGACTTCTTTAGGGATAGGGTTTAGGGTTTAGGGCTTAGGGTTTGGGGTTTAGGGTTTAGGCTTTATACTCTAGGGGTACTTCTCCAAATGAGTGTCCCAGGTTAGAACCCCCAAAACTATACACGGCGCCCTCATCAAACCGACTCTAAGTTTAGCGAGCTACCCACTTATGTCGGGGAGTAAGAGGCTGTTGTTGGCGGCCGACATTGAAGCAAACCCTAAATATCCTAAATCCTTAACTTGAAAACCGAAGAAGCTTTGCGAGTCGGAACCCTTAGGTTTAAAAGACCCTAAACCCTAAACCCTAAACCCTAAACCCGAAACCCGAAACCCTAGACCCTAAACCCTAAACCCTAACGCTTAGGGCCTCTTCTCTTCGGATCCTGAGCTCCACCAACTGAGTTGGCCCAAACGGTCCGGTCAAGCGGTGTAGGGTTTTGGGTTTGGGGTTTAGGGTTTTGGGTTTAGGGTTTTGGGTTTAGGGTTTAGGGTCTAGGGTTTAGGGGTTTCGGGGTGTTGGGTTAAGGGCTTAGGGCCTTTAGGGGTTTAGGGGTTTCGGGGTGTTGGGTTAAGAGTGTAGGGTGTTTAGGGGTTTAGGGGTTTTGCGTTAAGGGTTT